GGAAATAGCTTTTCTGTTCTTTGCTCCCTCAGCCCTAAGGGCTGGCATGGAGCTGGTCCCCTGATGTCCCTCTTGGGTGCTCTCCCTGCCCTGGGGCCCTCTTCATCCTGTCCCTAGTCTGGGCTCCAGCTGTGGGGGCTGGAGGTCCTCATTGCCATGGCAACTTGATGAGCCTCTATAGAGACTAAGAGGGGGGCTTGTACCGAGGGGTTGAGAGAGGAAAATGGTTGCCAAGGAAACCGGCCTCCCTGGGCCAATGACTTCCCGCAAAATCAGATTTTCGGAGATTTTAGAGACCAAGGGGGAAAGCCCCCTCCTGGTAAGGATGGAGCAATATTCTGCTTTCTGGGCCACCCAACCTCTTCATTCCTCACTCCTCCCCCCGCCCCGCCCCGCTTTCTTTGCGGGAAGGCCTGATGGTCCAAGCGGATGGGGCTGTGAAGGTCACGCATCCAGCCCGGAGGCCCCTCGGGTCACCTGCTCCAGCAGCTCCACTTCACAGGTGGAAAGACTGAGGCTCAGAAGGGGTCAGGGAATGCCCAGGGGACACAGTGAGCCACAGCAGAGCCAGGCCCAGATCTGGGAGACACGGGCGTGCGGCTTACAGCAGCTCAGCGACTCCCACGCCCGCTGCCCTGATTTGCCTGAGAAATGCCAGTAAACAGGACAAGTTTCCTGGAGGCCATAAGCCAGATTAGGGGCCCCTGGGGACCTGCTGGCCACGGGTCTTTGTCCTGGGACTCCCTGCTGCCTTCTGACAGTCAGTGCTTCTGGTCACCTAGCCTGGCCCCTGGCCTCTGGGTTACTTAAGACGCTGCTCCCTGTGGCCCTGGCGGGGGAGGGCACAAGAGAGGGAGCTGAAGGGACCCCAGAGGGACTGTCCTCTCCGAGTCTCACTTACCCCAGCCTTACAGTGGGGAGAGTCACAGCCTGTGCTATGGGCCTAGACCTTTCCTCCCGCCTGACCCCTCTTTTCATCGGACCAACTCTGGCTCATTCTGAACGTCCAAGGCTTCATGCCATCTCCTCAAGGAACTGCTTTCTGAGTCCCTCAGCCACTGGCCAGGGCAGGGGTCCTTTTTGGGTGCACCTGGCCCAGCCCCAGGGAGGAACGACAGTCCTAAGGGCAAGCAGCTGAGTCGCATGTTCCTTCCAGCTTCCCACCCTCAGAGAACCAACACCTGTCTCCTCAGGCTGCTGGGCCCCAAATTCACTCTGTCAACAAACAAGTAGACACCCAGTGTGTGCCAGGAGCCAGGACACAGACAGGAGGAAACCAGGGGCCCTCCCGGACTGCTGAGCTCTGGAGGGAGGCGACAAATGAGCAAACCCACACATACTGAGGTGACCATAAAGTTCTGTGAGGACAGAGCCCGGGACGGGAGGAGGGGCCCCCCATGAGCTCCCTCAGGGAAGGCCTCCCACAGGGAATGCCCTCGTGGCCTCTAGAGCGGGGGGGAAGAAAGTGAAAAGGAGTAACAGGCCAGGGGAAGGCCACGTGCAAAGGCCCTGAGGCGGGAATGAATGAGAGAAGGTTCAAGTGGCAGGAGCCAGGCAAGTTAGAAGGGGAGGGAGGTAAGGGGCCGCGAGAGGCCGGGCCTGGCAGGGGAGGTGGGATGCACCATCCGCCCTCGCCCGGCCTGGCTCTGGCAGCCCTCCTGGCACCACCGGGCACTCCAGCCTGGCCAAGCCCTGTGTTGCCCTGTGACATTTCCAAGGAGGCTTTTGAGCGAGAAAACATCTCATTCAGCCAGAGTTCTTTCAAAGCTGGCGGTGTCCTAGCAACGGGCTCCTGCCGGGCCTGGCCGCCCCAGCCTGCCCCGCCCCCAGTGGCATCGCGGTCTGCCCAGAGGCCCAGCTTTGGTCCTGCAGGATCCTGCCCCCGCCCCGGCCCACCATCCGATAGCCAGCAGGCCACAGAGCCACTCCCTGAAATTCGAGGTGAAGATCGGCCCTCCCCAGCTCACTCTGGAAAACAGCATGGGGCACAGCAGGGCAGACGAGAGGGGGCACGGGCTGAGACACGCATGCAGGCTTAGGAGCCCTCTGTGCCCATCCCCAGGCTTCTCACTGGAGGGGGAGCAGATTCTGAGAATAAACTTAAGGGTCCGCTTGCCCAGCTGGAATTAAACATGGCCTTGGGCAAGTCCTCTGAGCCTCTGGTTTTCCACCTGTAGAATGGACATCACTCCTTCTCTTCATCTCTCCATCCTGCCCATCCTCACCCCAGCCAGTCCCCCACTCAGCAGTCAGAGCGGGCCTTCAAAACGGCAGCTGGCTGAGAACACCCCACACGGACCCCGCAGTGGCCGCCCTTTGCTGTTTAACATGCATTTGAGGCCCTGCATGGCTGGCCTCCCAGCCCACTAGTCGTGGCTCTCTCCATCTTCCCTAGAGAGCCAGCACGCCCACTCTCAGTTCCTCCACCTGGCCCTGTCCCTCTTCCTCGCAGGCTTTGCCCGGGTTCTCTCTGCTTTGAACACCCTCCCTGCCCCATCACCACCTCCAGTCACTCTGCAAACTCCTCCTTTCCCTTCCCTTCTTGACTTAGACCTTGCCTCCTCCAGGAAGCCTTCTCTGCTACCCCCAGGCCGGGTTGGGGCCCTCCTCTGGGCTCCTCCCAGGCCCACGCTGCCCCATCTCTGCACTGATGACCCTGCCCACCTTTGGGGTTGCCAGACAGAATATAGGATGCCCCGTTCCATGTGAATTCCAGATAAACAATGGGTAACTTTTTAATGTAAGTATATCCCAGGCAGTATTTAGGACATACTTATACTTAAGAAATTTGTTTATCTAAAATTCAAACTTCACTGGGTGTCCTGGACTTTTGTTGGCCAAATCTGGCACCCTACTTGTCTTCCCCACCTGACTTGAATACCAGGGGACACAGCCATAACTGTCCCACTCGTTCTTATAGCCCCAGGGCCGGCGTGAGGTTCAGGCTGAGCCATGAGTGTGGGTTTGGGGTAAATGCAGAGAAGGCAGGGAGGCTGGGCCCCCAGCCTCTTCCAAAGCAGAATCAAGAGAGGCCATACACACAAATCCCACCTCAACCAAAAGGAAAGAGCCCAGCTCCACTCACCTTCCAGTCTGGGGGTAACTGGGCCCCAAAGCCCAGAGCCGGAAACATCTTATCACTAATACAGAGAGAGGAGAAGAAACCCACTATGAGACAGCAGGACAGAGGCCTCACCCGCCCACACTCACCCCTCCCAGCCCCCAACCAGGGCTGGGCCCACTCGGCCTCGCACACCTCCAACGACAGAAGGAAAAAGCCCACCACCTCTAGAAAGAGCTCTCTTTGAATGATCTACTGAGCTCACACCCACCTCTGAGTACCTGGTGAATGTGAGGCTTCAGCCCATCTGCACCTGTGGCAGACATGGCTAATCAATCACAGCACTTCTAACCAGTGGGCAGCAGCATCTAGATCCTTCTCACGCTGGGACCTCGGGCATCCACTAAACCACAGTCATTATGGAAATGTACTGCCTGTCTCTCAACCTCCCTTTTGTGGCTGGGAAAAATTCTGAGAACCCCAGCTTAGCTTCAAGACGCTTCATCATCCAGCCCTAGAGCCTACTCTCGTCTGCTTCCACCTGCCCTCCCTCACACCCCACCGCCCCAGCCCTGGCCACAGACCACTAGCTGTGGCCCAAACACACAGGGCACCCTCACGTTCCAATTTCAATCATGTTGTGCCCTCTCTCAAACTACTTGTCCCCAGTCTGTTCCCTGTGGTAAACTCCTACTCGTCCTCTACGGCCCAATTCAAACGGCCCCTTCTCTCTGTAGGTTTCCCTGAGACCTGAGAATCCCTCTCCCTCTGGCGCTCCTGTAGCTCCTGCTGCAAGGTAAGCTGGTCTCTCAGAACTCCAGTGATTCTCCCGTCTTCCTCCTCGACTGGGAACTCTTGAGGGCTCATGTCTCACCGGTTCATTCACTCAACGTGTATACTGAGGAACCCCCTGGCTGTTGTGTGGAGGACAAACTGCCAGGGGCTAGGACAGATGCATGGAGACCAGTGAGGAGCTACGGAAGTGATCTGGAGAGGAGGGGATGGTGGTTTGAACAGGCTGGTAGCAGTGGCAGTGGGAGAAGGGGTTCGACTCCAGTGTTTTGAAAGGATTTGCGGAAAGAACAACGGGGGAGATGAGGGAAGGAAAAAGGGAAGGGTTTTGGGTGAGTGGTGGTGCCTCTCACTGAGATGGGAAAGAGCACTCACTGGGGCCTTCTTGTAAGTTTGAATGCCCGTGAGAAGGCTCAGTGAAGGGACCGAGTGGGCAGCTGCATACAAGGGACTCCTGAGCGGCCGCAGGAGGCTCCTCCACCCAACCATGCAGATGGGGACTTTCACCTCCCTTCCCCTGTGTGCTATACCTCTCTTAATGTGGCCAGGGATCCCAGCCACACCCGTTAGGCCCTGGGAGTCAGACCCTGCTCCTCAGGCTGCCTCTCTTAAGGAGGCCAAGTGCACACAGGATTTCTGAGCCTGCTGTTGCTCCTGCCAAATTTCTGGCACCTGTACCTCCCTTCCCGGTCTCCTGCTCCTTCCACCCTCTGGCCTGGGAGTCCCAATGAGCACCACCTGTGGCAATGATCCCATAACTTTCAAGTGACTTTTGATCCTCCAAGGCCACACCCCCTACACAGCTTTCCTTCACTGACTTTCCGCTGCCCGCCCCCGCCCCAACCCAAAGATCTCCAGGAAGCAGGGTCATGGGAAGCAGGCCCACACCAGCTGGCTGCTCTTTCCAAGTTCCCAGCGGGAGTGAGAATATTAGGACACTGGGTGTCAGGCCCAGGAATCAGAATGCCTGCGGACTAGTCCCCCTGATCTGTTTGACTTTGGATCAATTCTCTACCTGCATCCCAGGCCTACACTTCCCCAGCTCTAAAAGGGAAAGTTGCAATGAAAGCAAACAAGTTTCATTTTCCCTCTTGATTCGTTTTCTTACTGGCTACTTGGTGTATCATGTGGAGGAGGATTCCAGTGTGGATCCGGCTCGGTAGGGAAGAGGTCAGCAATCGACTAGCAATGTCTGCCACAGGTGTAGGAAGGAGCAATAAGGCACATATACCATGTGTTGGCCATTCCCAGGTTTGAGGATCTTTGGGTCCCTTCCAGCTCTGACAAGCTGAGCTTCCGGGTTGGATGGAGCCGGAGCTGATTCCAGAGTCCCTCCTCAAGCTTACCTGTCATAGTCCTGAATGATCTGCCCGACAGCCCAGATGGCCGACAGATACTCGTTGGTGCCCATGGGGTTGATATAGTGCAAAGAGGAAGGGTCAAGGGGATTCCCGTTGGAGGCTGTGAAGTCTATCCCAACCTGTAGAGTGGGGAGAAAAAGGCCACCCAGGGTGGCCAGAGAGACTCCAGCTCCCTAGCTCATCCCAGGGAACAAAGAGGCTAATGGGACATGGGAAGTCATTCATCTCCCAGTGCCAACCCACCCTTCCATAAGATGGTCTGAAACCTAGAAACGGACTGAGTCACTCCTTTGGCTCTAATGCCATCAGTGGGTCCCTACTGCCCAAGCATAAACTCTACTGGCCAGATGTGACACAAAGTCAACTCACACTCCCAAATTCCTTTGTCCCCCTCACTGTCATGACCCACACACTCCTCTGTTTCCATTTCCAGGCCTTTATTCATGAGGTTCCCTCTACTTCAAGAGCCAGGCCATCTCTTCTCCCTCTCTCATTCTCCTCTATCATTCAGGCCCAATTCAGATGTCCCTGCCCCACTGAAGCCTTCCCAGACACCTTATCCTCACCCCAAGCCACCTCCACATTGTCCCTCAGGCCCTCAGGGGGCTCTGGGACCTGGGGCTGCCTGGTAGGCCAGTGCCCATCTGCCCAGAGTGGGTGCTCACTGTAGGCAAGACACACGCCCCCAGGGCCAGGTCCAGGGCGAGGCAGAGAGCACCAGAGAAGGTGCTCCGCAGGGGCTGAAGCTAAGATCTGCTCTCTCAGACCCCAGGGAACTCCAGCTCAGCCCCTGGAGGGGTAGCACAGACAGGTAGGGGGGCGAGCCTGCCCAGCAGGGGAGGGTTAGGAGAGGGATCTAGGGAGACAGATGGCTACCTTGGAACTTGGTCATGTGGGGTGGGTCTGGCACAGAGGAGGTGCTCGGTATCCATTTGTTAAATGAACACACACACACACATGCAGAAGGAACAGGAGAGCCCAGCCTCTCGGAATGAGGGGGGTGTGGTGACCAGTGGGGTTAGAGGTCAACAAAGCCAATCCCCTGACTCCACAGAGTCGTGCAGGTGACCTCCAGTCCCATGGGATCTAGAAGTGGTGGCAAGGCGGGGAGGTGGGCAGAGCACGGGACCCAGTACCTCCTCCCCCTGGGCCAGAGGTCCCCTTCAAGTGAGGAGCGTAAGACCAGATGAGCGGGATGAGTCTGGGGGGCATACACCCCAGGCCACGGACAGAGGGACAACTCATTTACCCAACACTTACTATGTGCCAGGCACTGAGTGGTTTGCTGAGGTTGGCACACAAACAAAACAAAGTCCCCACACTTGGGGCACTCACAGTCTTTGGGGTGGGACAAACAGGGACAAGAGAAAGATACTTAAATAACTTCAGAGTGGCTAAGTGTTCTGAAGATCACAAAATAGGGGAAGTGACAAGGAGCGACAGGAGGGCGTCAGGGGAGGTCTCCCTGAGGAGGTGACCTCTATGCCATGGCCCGAAGGGACGTCAGGGCACCAGCCGTGAGAAGGTTCCGGAAGGAGCGTTCCAGATAAAGGAAACAGCAGATGCAAAGCGCTCAGACAGAAAGGCGCTTGGCATCTTGGGGGAACAGTGAGGACCCGTGTGGATGGAACTGAGTGAGCAAACAGGAGGGGTAGCAGAGGACACAGGAAGGCCTTCTGACGGGCAGGGAGGAATTCAGCTTCTTTTCGCTCTGCAGGGGTGTAGCCAGCAACACTCTGAGGGCTGGGCAGCCAGGCCCTGACCTACAGCTAAGCCCGGACTCAGCCTCAGCCACCTATGCCCTCTCCTCTGGGCCAGATACTCCCCTTGCCCTGGGGAAGTCCTTCCTGAAGTTTATCCCCAGTCTGTCTTGCTGCAGTAGTCGCCCAAGCCCTCAGGGAGGGTCCTCACTGGGGTCGGGAGGTGGGGGGTTGCGGGGGGGGAGCCTTACAGTGAACATGAGCTGGCAGCCTCCCAGGATGTAGTCCAGGAAGGAGTAGTCCCGGTTTATCTGGAAGGAATCAGGGGAGTCAGTGGGTCTCTGGCCTGCACCTGAGGGCCAGCCCTCCACCTGGCCATAGTTCCCAGGGGGAGCTGGGGGGCTGACTGCTCTGTGCCCCGAAGCCTGAGTAGAGTCAAGGAGGCCAAGGGAAGACCCGGGCTGATTACAACGAACCCCAGATCTCTCTATAACAAAGCTCTCAGAGCAACAGTTCCAGTGGGTCACACACACACACACGCGCGCATGTGCGCGCGCGAGCACGCACGCTCCTTCCAGGCAGGGTCCCTGGGCCTACTGTCAGTTGTACCTACCAATTACACAGCAGAGAAAGTCTCAGTTTGTTGCTGTCCGGTCCTTAAGCCCTCTTTAGCCCTGATGGACCTCCACCCTGAGCAGAGAACGACCAGGCCTCCAGCCCGAGGCCTTCTGCTATAATCAAGCTGCTAACACCTCGTGTTTGTTTTGATGGCCTTTTGCTCCTTTGGCGAAGGTAGATACTGGCCTTCCTATTTGGGTGGAGTTATAAGGGGGTTCCTTTCAAAATAAATGTATTGAAGAAAAAAAAAAAAGAAAAAATCCAAGAATGGTGGGGTTGGAAAGGGCTGATTACAAAAAGTAGTAAGTAAGGCAGGTGGCAAAAATCACGAAGGGGAGTACGAGTGACGGAAGTTTCAGGAACAAGGACCCCATGCCACCAGCTGCCAGCTTAGCTTTCCCAGGGCACTTTGGCATCGTGACCTCATGGAGCGAGCAGCCGTGGAAGCCCCCGCCAGACTGCGCGGTCTCCAGACCAGGCTGCAGAGGCTCGGGGGCCGGGGGCTGCCAGGCCACACAGGGAGGATGCCGGGCCTAGGCTGCCTTCCTGAGCACCCTGCCCGATTCCAGCAGATGCCGGCTCTTGGGCATCCAGGGGTGGCCCTGACCACCGCTGCTGTGAACTTCATTCCCTTTCCGAGCCTCAGAGGCCCCAGCGGCCCCAGCTGCACCACGGGAGTCACAGTGACCTGAGCCCTCGATGATGTTGCTGGGCCCCCGCTGGATGTCCCTCTGCCCCTGGGGTGCCAGACATGCAACGGGCAAGCCGCCAGCACGGGAAGCAGTTACCTTCTAACCAGGAGAGGCCCTGGAAGGTCATCTCATGCCCTCCTGGACCTCCTTATATCCCAGGAATGTGATATGAGACTAACCCTTCACCTTTGTTTTTTACCTTGTTAACACCCCCATTCTACAGATGAGGAGACTGAGGCCCAGAGAGGTTAAGCTCAGCAGATCCCAGAGTCAGGACGTGGCAGAACCAGGATTTGAATCCAGGCCTTGCTGGCTCCATACTCAGTGCTCTGTCTATCCCTTCTGCAGTGATGGGATATGATCCCCCCAACTGGGCCCCTGCTCTGGGCCCACCCCCGCTGGCTCACCTTGCAGGAACGCAGGATAATGATGCCCGAGTTTTTATAGTTCTTCTTCTTCCTTTGCTTCTTGGGGTTGATGCACTCAAACTCCACCTGGACAACGTAAGGGAAAGAGAAGCTCAGCCTGGGGCTTCCCTGGGGGACTGACCCTCTCCTGAGCCCCAAGATCCCCTCCACAGTCCTGATCAGGGGGTAGCATGCCTCCTCCAGGAAGCCTTCCCAGATGTCCACACCCAGACAGTTTCTGGCTACCTCAGGCTCACACCAAGCGGTGCTTGCCCAAGGCAGGAGGACCTGCATCTGTTTCCCACCCCAGATGCTAACTCATCTACATCATGTCCACTCATATACCCAGAACCATCACCCAGGGCCCAGCCTCTAGCGGTGAGTTCATTTAACAGCTCTTGAGTGCTCACCACATGCTAGGCACTTTACCAGGATCATCTCATTTATTTCCCAGTCTCCCCCTCTGCCCCATTTGGCAGATGGGGAAGCTGAGGCTCAGAGAAACTGGATGTCTTACTTAAGGTCATACAGCCAGAGAGGTGGGATCTGAGCCCCAGTCTGCCCAGTTCTAAGCCTGTGTCCCTCACCCGTCCCCTGCTGAGGTTTCAGGGTCACACACACAGGCCCATCTCACCGGGACGCCATCACGAGCCTCACACATCCGCGACACCGAGGTCTGGAACTCGCCGATGAAGTCATGGCCCCCGTCGTTGTCATAGTCGTAGCACATGACCTGGGGTGGGTCCACGGAGGTCACCCCAGAGCAGCCCCCAGGGAGGTGCTCTCTGGCCCCTCTCAGCCACCTGAGCAAACCCCATGTCTTCCTTTTGCTGGTGCCTCCCCCTGTTCTCTAGCATCTGCCTTGCTGGCCTGGGATGATGCTGTGAGCTCCTGAACTGCCTCCCGCAGGAAGCCTTCCATGATTACTGGGAAAAGGAGCACCCCAGCAGTGGAGGCTGTACACTCTGGAGCAGGAAGCTCGACTCCCCACATACCCGTCACTCAGCTCCTCATCTGTCTGGGGCTGTGGCCCACCTGCCTTGGCGGGCCATGGCCTGGGGCCCTCCCTAGGGTGACACTGGACATGCCTCTTGTCTCCCTAGACTATTCCTTTCCTTGAGATAGGCACAAAAAATCCTAGCTTTCCATGCTCGCTAATCTAGCTGCCAGTCCTAGGAAGAAGGCAGGAATTATCATACCCATTCCACTGATGGATAAACTGAGGCTTCGAGAGGGAAGCACTTGTCCAAAGTCTCACAGCCGCAGCAGCAGACCCAGAACTAGAATCAGGTTTCCTAGTACCTGGAAGTGCCCCTAGTACCTGGAATCTTGCCCCGGCCTCGCTGATTCCATCTCCCCCATCTGCTCTCAGTCACTGTGCATGGGGACTGAGGTTCTGTAGCGACCAGTAATCACTGTCCTCATCACAGTGACAACCCCTGGTCGCTTGCACACCCGCTGTCCCAGGTGGCAGCGCCGCAGGCCTCTGGCAAGAACCGGGCAGTCGTTCTGTTCCTGTTTCAGGAAGGGCTCACGGAGACGGGGGCCTTGCCCAGATGGCTCAGAGGGTCAGACAGATGTGAGACCAGAGCCCAGGTCCCCTGCCTCTCCCCCTACCTAGGTTTGCTTTTCCATCTTAATAAGAAAGAGCTTGGCCAGGGCATCCCCAGCAAGCCTGGAAGAGCCTGGGAGGCTGGACCTGGCAGGGTGGGGCGCAGGGCTCCCCGAGCCCCCTCACCTGGATGGCCTTCTCCATGTCCCCATCACACAGGGATACCAACGGTACAGTAAATGGTTTCCACACAGGGTCCAGCGTGTACTTGATCACCTGCAGCACAGGGAGGGCCAAGGCTGAGTGCAGGCCCAGGGCAGCAGTGCTCTGGGCTTGGGCCAGTCCGATGGGGGTGGCAAGGCAGAGAGGCCCACAGCCACGCTCCTGGGGATGGCATGAGCATCCCTGTGGCAGGAAGGGAGCAAGTCCTTGAGGCGCCACCGTGGCTTTTCCCGTTCCCTGCACAGCGGTGACCTCACAGCCCTGTCCTGAGACACTGGCGGGGGGGGGGGGGGGGGGGGGGGGGGGGGGGGGGGGACACGGAGATGCTTATGTAGCCCCAGCACACAGTAGGTGCTCTGTAAACGGCCACCATTATAAGCAGACGACTATCCCACAGCCCCGTGGACCTATCCAGGCGGCCTCTAGCTGGGGAGGAGGTTGATCGACCTGATTTTGGACAAAGTCTCTGGAGACCTGCTCCAAACTAGACAGAGCCCAGGAGTAGTACCAGCTACATTTCTGGCCAACAGATGCCCATGGCTTCTGAGTCACGGCATCGTTCCCAAGTTGGTGACTTGATGCATTTCCCTTCCAAGTACAAACTGGGCCCAGCTGTGGGAATCCCCAGGGAAGGCAGATGCTCTATCCAAGCCAAATCCTAGGCTGGAAGGTCTCATGAGGGCGGGGCCCACCCTCTTCCATATCCACCTGGAGCCCCCTTCCTCTTCCAGTAGTCTCTTAATTGATTCTGGAGGCTCAGAAATCCTCTGAGGCCGAGGGGGCAGAGGTGAGCACAGGCACCACTCACTGCCTGCCCCTTTCTCCCCCGACTCCCACACCGGCAACCCTCAGTCCTTGGTTGCCAAGGCTCTTTGTGGAAGGCAAGAGGGAGCAGGGTGGGGCAGAGATGGGCCCTTCAGCAAGGGTGGGTGGGAGGTGAGAGACAGGTATATAATCTGCTGCCCTTACCTCCTCCTGTCCTACACAGGGCTTCCTGTCAACGCTTCCCTTAATTCTCACCTGACGCACCGCCTGAGGTGAGCTAAGCAGGTATCACACTCCCTGGGGCAGGTGAGGAGGCAAAGGCCCTGAGAGAAGCAGTGATCTCTCCCAAGGTCACACAGCCAGGAAAGGGCAGCGGCTGGCCTTGCATCCAGGACCACCTGACTCCAACCTCCAGCTCTGCCCCATCTGTCATTAGGAGCAAGCATGAGGGGGAGGGTATGGGAGCACAAGACAAAACCTATATGCTGCCCCTCCCTCCGCCCAGGGCAGGTGCAGGTGGGCTTGGCACTCACCTGAGCAGAAGGGGTTGGTGGGGTTGAAGTTGATGGCAAACTCATGGGAGACCTGAAATGTAGAGAAAATGCTGGGCCGGCAGCCTTCTGGGCCCAGGCCCCACCCACTGCCCGGCCAAAGCTCCCTCTGGGGCACCTGGCTTTTCATGCCCCATCCCCACCCCCAGGTCAAGGCTATTGATCCCCCTCCCCATCTGCTTTCACCTCCACTGCTAGGACTGAGCCACACAGAGAGGTCTGACTACTCTCACTTCATAATGGGTGCACATCACCCTAATCTCTTCTGGGCGGTCAGCGCTTCCTGTGCCTCCTCAACCCCCTAAGAGAGTCCTGGAGTGGGACAGAGGGGCCTCTGGGGACATCCAGGTGGGTTCCAGGAGCACCTGGACTGCTCCTTTGTCACAACTCTCACTGAGGTTCCACTTCTTTGGGCCCCAAGGGCTTTCCCCAACTTCACGGTTGGCACGACTGCTAGCAAAGGAGCCCACGGTATGCCAGCGAGCCAAACCGGGGATCAGCGGACAGCCTGCTCAGCTGGACTGGGGATCAGGAAGCATCATGGGGCCAGAGGGGGCTGCTTCCAGCCCCAGCCCCGTGGATCATCCTGCGCACTCCCAGATTGGGGAACACAGAGGAACACTAACTAGACACCATTCGGGGCTGTAGTAGGACTGCGGTGGCTACAGAACCCAGGGCCCCGGGGGGCCGGAGCTCAGATGGGGGCCTCCCCACTCTCCCTCCTGCTGCGGTCTCACAGCCAAAATCCCCACTCAGCCCCCCTCCCTACTGCACGCCAAACCCCATGTTCAGAGCTTTGCAGGCATCCCCTCGCTCCCGGCCATGACTCAGTGGGGAAAGGCCTCTTACTACCCCATTTCCAGATGATGAGACGGAGACACACAATGATCTAGAATGTTCCCAGGGTCTCACATTTACTGAAAGACAACGTTGGGACCAGAACCAAGGTCAGGCTGCCTCCTGAGCCCATGTTCCCCGAACCCACTAACCTCAGAAGGTGTTCCTCTCCGTAGGAGGGCTGACGCCATCTTGTTTGTGTCTGCACAATGACCTCCCTCGGGGGCTACGTGTTCTAGGCCCCGGGGAGGTTAACTGTGCCCACGTGGGAATGCAGGTGGGCTTGTTCTGATCTTCTCTCAAGTGGCGCACACAGGGCCCTACTTAAGCTAACCAGCAGAGATGGCGGGCACACAGGGGGGGCCACTTTAGAGCCCTACCCCGTAGCCTCACCACCATACCCCTTGCTCCTGCCTGGGTGGGGGAGGGCTGCATGCTGCCTGGAGGGCCGGCCCGCGGTAAGTTACCCTGAATTAAATTGTGTCAGCGGAGTGGCTGGCTTCATTTTTTGGCCTGAAAGTGCCTTCTTAGTCTGGAGGATATTTACTGACCCTCCTCCATCTTCTCACACTCTCCCATGGGTTTTAAATTAGGAAGATGAAGAGGTCTAGGGGAATATCTGCCAGGTGAGAGCTTTATTCTGGGCGCAAACACTCCCAGACTCTTTAGCTCCCAGACATTACAACGTGTGTGCTGGAAGGCCCCACCAAGTCCAACGTGCCCATTTCACAAGTAAACTGAGGCCCAGAGAGGGAAAGCCAGGTGCCAAGGCCACACAGCAGAACAGGCCTAAGACCTGAGCCCCCCACGCCTTGAGAGGGTGTTGGGGTCCTGGCCTTGCTGAACCCTCCTGGGCCAAGAGAGGTGAACCCTCCAGCACGGGGAGTTCACCCCAGCAGGGCCCTAGGGGTGGGGGGGATGGCCTG